ATATATATATATATATCGAAATAAAAGTATAAAATTTAATATTACAAGTCATATTAAAACAATATTAAATAATAAACATTTTTTATTTTTTTTTATTATTTAATATTGTTTTAATATGTCTTGTAATATTTTTATCTTTTATACTTTTATTTCGATCATTAAATTTTGTACCTACAAAATATCTTTAAATATATATATATATATATATATATATATATATATATATATATATATATATATATATATATATATATATATATATAAATGTAATTGATGAGATATCTTAAACCAGACTTGTTCTATGTATTCCGTAGTTATCAAAGTTTTTTAATTCCATTGTATTTGGGTATTTTAGGTATCCTGTTGATGAAATTCCTGTGGATTCCTTTTTATGGTTTATGATATCGGGTATCAAATAAAGATACGGGGCATCACTGATCTGAAGCAAAATATCATTGATGCCCTTGTCACCATTGCTGAGGCTATGCTACAGCGAACATGGCAAGAAATCGAGTATTGACTTGAGGTGCTTCGTGCAACTAATGGTGCTCATATAGTGGTGTATTAAATTAGTTAAAATAATTCCATATCTAGTCCTCATTTTGTAACTATTTTCACATATTTGTCTGTTTATTTGCTTTTGTAATATTTTTTTAAATTGTATAGCCAGTTTATGGAGACCCTGTACGTTTTGTTGAGAATTACAACGATTTAAAAAAAATAATTTCAAAATTTAATCAAATATCGATGGAAAAATCATCCTTAATCTACCAGGTTGAATCAAAAGTATTTTGGATTTCCACTGATGATTTCTGGCACTTAAATCAATTTGTCAGATCATTACCGAATTGATTATTACTTATTTTTATTTATAACATATATTAATTATTTTATTCTTTATTTTACACCTTTGATCATGAGTGGTTAGCAAATTGCAAGTAAAGCCACTTTACGCTCCCTTGGGGGAGCAAGTACTGAATGCAAGGACTGTACATGTTAGAAATAAATAATGGCGAAGATCCAGGAACTGACAACAAACCTGTGGCGCAAAACTGGATTATACGTTTCAAGGAAGATGAAACCAGCCTCGAAAACAAACCAAGGTTAGTGGCAACATCTATTGTGAAAGATGAGGTCCTGTCTGAAATGGTTGAACAAAATCCATATTACAAGCACTCGTAAATTGTCGGCAGAACCTCTTCCTTTACAAGGCAACATGAATCGACAATCCCATAAGCTCTGGCTTGTAAACAGACGCTATCGAGTTCTTCATGAACTGACCAATTATTAGGCTCAATTATGTGTGAACATTCGAAAATAACTGTTTTTAGATACTCAAGAGGTCCGCTTTTGACGTCGAATTTTCGCAATACTAATAAGAGAATTCATTAGCTTGGCTCAGGCCAGATTTCAGATGCTGTTGTAAAACAAGGGCGGTTTGAACAGAAGGTCATGCGTTGAGTTTGGTAGGATTTCGTGAGACCGTTGCTCATTGACCATGTCTCCGATAGTCATGCTATTAACGCTGCAGCGAGTATCAGGTCATCCCATAAGTTCTGTCCAAATTTTAACTTTTTGTTAAAATGAACGAAATTTAAAGAGTATTTTATAATGGTTAATGGAGCTGAACATTATTTTTATGTTAAGATGCATTTAAACTGGTCAAAGTTTATTTCAGAGAACAATAAAATATAATTTTGTTTGTTTAAAACACTGTTAACATGGAAGTACCCAAGAATCATTTGAAGCACATAATGCTTTATGAGTTCAAGAAAAGAAACTCAGCAGCCAAAGAGGCTAGAAACATTCACTCAGTTTATGGAGAGGGATTTATGAATAAAAGAACTTGCAGAAGATGGTTTGCAAAATTCAGAGGTGGAGATTTCACTCTTGAAGATGAAGATCGAACCGGACGTCCAGTTGAGTTTGATGAAAAGGTTCTTGAAGCAGCCCTTGAAGAAAATCCTGCTTTATCAGTTGAGGAATTGGCTGTGGTTCTCAGTTCAAACCATACAACTGTTCATCGTCATCTTCAACAACTTGGAAAAGTTCCTTAACTTGGAAAATGGGTGCCTCATGAATTGTTTGAAACAACCTCAAATCCCGAGTTGACATATGCTCTTCTCTCCATTCTCGCCAACTTGTTTCACCTCTTTTGGATAGACTTGTGACTAGCGACGAAAAATGGATCTTTTATCGAAATGTTAAGCGTCGTAGACAGTGGCGTGTTAAAGGGGAACGATCCCAGCCATTACCGAGAAAGGAACTTCATGGGCAAAAGGTTCTTCTTTCAATCTGGTGGGATCGCCAAGGAATAATCCACTTTGAATTCTTACCACCTAATGCAACAATTAATGCTCAAATATACTGTCAGCAATTAGAGCGTTTGAACCAAGCTTTGAGGAAAAAAGACCTGCTCTAGTGAATCGAAAAGAGGTGATGTTTCATCAGGAAAATGCGCGACTCCACACAGCAAGAATCACGTCACAAAAGATCGAAGAACTTGGTTGGGAGAAAATTCCTCATCCACCTTATTCACCCGATCTTGCTCCTTCAGACTACCATTTGTTTTGTAGCTTACAGAATAATTTGGAAGCAACAGCTTTTGTAACACAGGAAGAAGTTAAAACTGACGTTTGTGAGTTCTTCAAATCAAAGCCAAATGAATTTTACAGTAATGGAATTAGTAAGCGTGTTAATAGATGGAAGGAAGTCATAGATAATCAGGGAAAATACATTGTTGATTGAATCTGTAATTAAATGTAACATTTGGTCACTTGTTTTCTTTATTCAAAATTCGGACAGAACTTATGAGATGACCTGATATATAATGTTGTGAAAGACAAATAGCCGGTATTGTTCAATCGAAGACAAACGCTGGAAGTGCTGGGTCAGTCTACATCCATTTCAGACTTTGCACCATCAGATTACCATTTCTCCGAGCTATTGATCAATTCCTGCGCGGTCGAAGGTTCAAAAATGTGGATCAGGTTAAAAACGAGCACAGGACGCTTTTCGAAACTAGCCAAATGATAAAATTGTTTTATAGATCTTCTGGCACAAAGTTGGCAACAGACAATAGAATATGCTGAAATGTATGGTGATAAACAAACGACTTTCGGGTGAAATTTGTTCCAATTATTAATGAAAGCTAGAAACACGAGAGAAAAAAAACTCTTGACACAAGCTGGTATTATTATTTAAACTTTGCATTAAACATAATTTAAGTATAACTGAACAAATACAATACATTAATCGTACGTTATTTATAGAATTATTTTTAAAATATAAAAACTGAATATAAGTAACATTAATTCTCTAATAGATCTGACAAGAATTGGATATGAAGGTGTCATAATTCAAAGTCTAGCAAAATATAAGCGAGTAATATTCAAGATTTTTTAAAATGAATATTCCTAAAATTCTCCTTAGATTGTCATTGTTTGGGAAGGACATATCTGCTTTACATCATCAAAAACATGATGTAATGGATCTAACCGTTTTCTTTTAATTTTCAACATATTTGTGGTCATACATATTGGCTTAAGAAAATAGTAATTCTTTCAAGAAAGCTGAGATCGGAATTAAATTGGGGATTAGATTTATATTTTCATATGATTAGATATTTGAGAATCCATTGCAATTAGAATAAAGATGACAAATATTTTAATTTACTTTTTAAAATACTTAAAGAAGTCTTAAATGTTTCGCTAATTAAGACCCAATTAAAAATGTCCTCTTTATAATTACTAATAATAAGTTATTAACATAAATAATTAAATACCAGGCATGAATTGATTTGCTTTTTTTTTACGCTGGTTAAAAGGGAAGAAATTGAGAGATGACATGAAATGCTAATTCGCAGTTAATCGTTACTAAAACGGCCTACATATATACATAGTTTTAAGTGTAAATTATTTTCGGATAGAGTGTATCTGTAAAGGAACACAATGAATAAAAAGAGACAAGAGGAAAGACTGTTATTAACTGACATGTTTAGTCTTCTGAGGGACTCTATCAATGCAATTTATGATTTATTTTGTTACAAGTGTTTATATAGAAAAACGAGGATGTTTATCAAGGCTTTTAAATTTGAGAACGTTCACGAATGTTAAAAAGTCAGTCAAAACACGTGGAGGACACAAAATATTATAATTAAAAATCTGGTAAAAAGTAAGCGAATAATATTCAAGAATTTTTTTTATTTATTTTTAAATGAATATTATTTAAATTGTAATCATATTGTTATGTTTTGGGATGGACATATGTGCTGTACATCTTCAAAGGCGTAATGTGATGGATTTAACCTTTTTCTTTTGATTTTCAACATATTTGTGGTCGTGTATATTGGCTTGGAAAAATACTAATTCTTTCAGGAAAGGTGAGACTGGAAAGAAACTGGGGAGTAGATTTATATTTGGATATGATTCGATAGCGGCAATATCGAGAATTTTTCTTCTGGGTAAATTACTTTCTCTTTTCATGAGTATAGCATTTTTTAAATCAAAATTGTGGTTGAATTTATTTTTGTGTATGACTAGTGCATTTGATAAATTATTATATATAAGGTCCCTTTTTTGTTCATACATACATTTTTTTAAAATTTCTGCATGTATCCCTAATGTATTATGAGGAACATTTATGCTAAATTATTTTATATATACCTACTTTTGAATTATTGTCACGAGTATTTTTATTTCTGATCATATCCATAATGGCTTTGAAAGTGGTTGGGACTATTTGGAAGTTGTTTAGTTGGGATAAGTTGTTTTGGATAGTGAATGAGCTAAACAATAATTAATCTTATCACAGCATTTTTAAACCAGTTTTACTAGATGGTTATTTATAGATTAAAAATAAATTGAATCAAATCTGATTATTTGTGCAATTCCTAATTCCGGTGACTTGTCATCAAATCATTAATATACTTTTGTTAACGTTTCTTATTTCAAGGAAATTAAGATAGAAAAAAATGATATGTACCTGGTTTTTAACTTCAGTCACGTAACCTTTCTTTCTCCAAACTATTTCCTCGGGAATATCTTCGTCGACAAACATCAATGAAGAAAGATGTTTGTTCAGATTACGGTAAAGTAAACCATTCATAACTTTCTTAAATTCATGCTCCATCTGTAATAAGAAATATTCATTATTTCTATAGAAATGAATTCATATACATCGGACGTACATTCTGCATAGAAACAAAAGTCAGATCAAAATATTAAGTATACATGTAGAAAAATCAGATTGTTCTGGTTTCGGATGGACGTGTGTTGTGCGTCTTCAAAAACACGAAGGAATGGATTTAACCATTTTGTTTTGAGTTTTCAACATGTTTGTGGTCGTGTATGTTGGCTTGGGAAAATAGTAATTCTTTCAGGAAAGGTGAAATTGGAAAGAAACCAAGGCGTAGATGTATATATATTTTGAATAAGATTCTTTAATAATACATACGTATATATATATATATATATAAAGAAATGGACAAGGTCCGACAACTTATTTATTAAAGACATTTTTATGTTTAACGTTGTTATTTATAGATACAAGTATTTAAGCAAATGCTTTGTTTATGATAAACAGTATTAAATAACATTTACCGACCTGAATGTCCGAGAAATAGAAAATATTCGTTCTTTGACAGGATTCGAACCTGCATCCTATACGGAACCGTCATTTACGCTGACGTGCCTTAACCGTCTCGGCCACAAAGAACTCATTTGCTTAAATACTTGTATCTATAAATAACAACGTTAAACATAAAATGTCTTTAATATATATATATATATATATATATATATATATATATATATATATATATATATATATATATATATATATATATATATATATATATATATATATATATATATATATATATATGTTTGTGCGACAGCAATTAGAGAAAATCTTTCGAAACGGCCTTAGGGGAATACCAACTTAATGTAATACGTCAGGCGCCAGATTCTTCCAGATACATTTCTCTTTCAAACGTATCGAGAGCAGAAGGATGACAGCTTCAAATTTAGACGAGGAAATGAAAACATACGGGTATTTTGAGCTCAATACGTTAACTAGAACACCTGTATAATAGTCAGCCTTGTGAAAGTGTCAAGAGGGAACGTAAGGACAGGTGTCCCTGCACGAACCATCGAAGGTGCTTACTTTCATCCATAGCGAGGTCAGGTAATTTCAGACTATTCTCGCATCAAGACCTTTGTTCAAAGGCGATGTTACCGTCAACTTCTAGGGAGAGGACATAGTGATTTTCTAAGCCCGGCTTAGATGTGGCACAAGGCCGAAAGTATAGGGTACACATTGAGGATTTAACTCACTACACAGTCGTAATTGATCTAGCAAGACAAGCTTTATAACCATTAAACCACTTCAAGGTGCCCCCCAGGGAGAGGACATAACTGTCACAGCTCGGATCATGAGATGAATAGTGTTTGAAACTGGATTAAAACACGATGTGATATTCTCTTCAGGGGTGAAACTGACAGCTACCATACAGTGTTGAGTTGTATCAACATATTTTATTTCTCTCTCTAACCTTCTCTCTCTCTCTCTCTCTCTCTCTCTCTCTCTCTATCTATCTATCTATTTATCTATCTATCTATCTATCTCCCTCTCCCTCACTGTTTCTCTTAAGTACCATCCATTCTGATTGGTTGGTAGAACTTTCAAGCCTCTACACACCTGCGGTTTGTTGCTACGGTTTCAACATCGAACATTATTTTCCAAAATCGAGTTGCTAGCCCCGTGTTCAACAAGTTGTTTTTTTTTGTTTTTTTTTTAAATTGAGACTTGCCTTTCTCCTAGAATAATCTTAATGATAATATTATTTGCTTCCTTATAAGGAAAAATTCGGAATTCATTGACCGCTTATCAATGCCCGATGAAACTTTTGAAACCTTTCTCTTAAAACATATTTTCAGGAAAATTGTTTTCTCAACTTCAATAACTATAATCACTTTTTCCATCATTGATGGGAATTTCTTTTCTAACCTTTTGCTTCAGGTAGTGTAGAAAATCAACATCTTGTTTATGCTATTATTTTGTGTTCGATTAAATGTGATATCCAAAAACGAAAGAGAACCTAACCCATAGTTTTTGAGGAGAAAAAAATGGCGTCAGAATTTTCCCAATGTTATTTAAGTAAAAACGAGTGTAACGATCCCTATTAAAATAATTATAATGCGTATAAAATAGACGTATATTTGTCTGCATCGTTGGCAAAGCTCTGTGAAGTCTTTCACCATATGTGGTCATTTATATGACTCAAATAATTTTAAAATTGAAATATAAGGTTTTTTTATTAGTACATTGAAGTAAAATAGTTTGTCTTCGATATTGACAATTTTGACTCCCTAACGATACCCGAAGAAGTTGAAAATAGATGGGCAAATCTAAAGGGCAGAGAAGTAGCACTGATCCGGATGATTATATATATGCTGAAATATATCGATTATTGATTATTGTTGATATATATGATAAAATATATCGATTATTGATTATTTATGATATATATGTTAAAATATATCGATTATTGGTTATTGATTACATGTATGTTGAATATATTTATTATTGATTATTGTTGATATATAGGATAAAATATATCGATTATTGATTATTGATTACATGTATGTTGAATATATTGATTATTGATTATTGTTGATATATATGTTAAAATATATCGATTATTGATTATTGATTACATGTATGTTGAATATATTGATTATATATATGTTACAATATATAGATTATTGATTACTGATTACATATATGTTTAAATATATTGATTATAGATTATATATATATATTGAACTATTGATTATTGATTAAATATATGTTGAAATACATCAATTATTGATAAAACAGTACAATTTTTTTTTTCTGACACTATATTTAACCCCCGAGAAAAACGATAAGTTTTCTTCCTGGTCTGTCAAAAAAGGCATGATCACCCAGTCACATAACGAACTTAACTGACTGAATATATCAGAATATTCTCATAATATTGCGTACAAATTTGTTTCACATTAATATTTTTTTATGCATGCATATTGTTGGATGATTTCTCTATCGACGTAAAATCTATTTCATCTGAAGTTTCCAAGTAAAACATTCTTCAAGAAGTTCATATTAAAGATATCTTTTAATAATTGTAATATAAGGCTTTTTTTCCTGTTGTTAATAAGATCTCATTAAACTCAACCAGCAGTGATCACTATTTGAATATATTCTCCGCACAATATCAGAAGTGAATACACAACCAACATTTTATATATATATATATATATATATATATATATATAATCGACTCTCCCGTCGAGATTCGACGTATGAGAGTCAAGCAGATCAGTTTCCAGGAAACCGACAGCCCAACACCGGCACATGAGATTTGATTATAGTGGTGAAGGCCTCGTGCAGGACCATCCCCACTTTTTGAAGGGACGAATACAGAGACCTGGTGCACCGAATGCCACAAGGTTCCCAAATGACCCTCCGCAGGTTTTGAATTCAGAGTTGTCTTTCTCCTAGACCAGTTGCCATCCAAGGCTATAGAACCCAGTCTGTCCTGCTATTTTAGAGGGAGGGAGAGTGAGAGGATTCATACCTTTCCCAAGGGTATTAGCAAGTGAACTTAATGGATTCGACTGGAATTCGAACTCGGCTCTGCGATTCCTCAATCCAAGCGTCTATCCATTACTCCACCGTGCATCCTTTATAATTCTTGCTGTGTATACTGCAAATATGCTGAGCAGAAATTAGTTGATGGTTATATAGTAAAAAGTAATAATAGTAATAATAAAAATAATAAATCAGCATAAATGTGAAATGCATTACAGAATAATAATAACTGTAACAATAGTTATATAGTAAGATAGTAAAAATATTAATAAAATAGTTATGATAATAATAAACAGTAACAATACTAGTATTTATAATACCCGTGCCAGGCTTGAGTATGTTAATCTGAGTCAACGTTCTTGTGTAGAAATTTGAATCTATGCAAACATGTGCTCATTAACTCACTCACCTTGTTTCAGAGATTTCGATTGTTCATATTTTGAGCATCATTAATTTTTCAGAAAGACATTAGTTACATCTGTCACTTTTCACGCTGAAGGGTTTTGTTTCGTCAAATTTAATAATTTAATAAATTGATTATTGATTAGTGTTGGTAGTGATGGTAATGCCCAGACTGTTGTCTTTGAAGAATTTAATTAGTTTTTTCTTAGTATGTCAGTTTTTGTTTTTTGTTTTTTTGTTTTTTTTTGTGCACAGTAGAAACCCAATCATCACCTGGGAATGCGTAATGAAAGATAAATTGTCGTCTAAACGAGGCGAAAATGAAGAATTATACAAAAAAAATATCTTAAAATACTAAAGAGAAAATTTATTGACCAAAATTACCACCGGTTTCACGGCCTCCAGACGACTTCGGATTCTTCTGTGTCTCTTCTGAACGGTTTCCTTGTTTAAGTTGGTAAATGCTGCTATAATCTTTGTCTTGAGTCCATCTTTAATGTTCCGAGTTCTGCTGATGTCTCGTTTAACTGGGCCCCAGACATAATAACCAAGGGAACTTAACTGACTGAGCAAATCAGAAGATTCTCATAACATGGCTTGCAAAGTTATGTCACATTAATGATTGTTTTTTATTCATGCGTATTGTTCGATGATTTCTCTATCGACATAAAATCTATTTCATCTGAATTCTCAAGTAAAACATTCTTCGAGAAGTTCATATTAAAGATAATCTTTTAATAATTGTATCTGTAATATAATTTTTTTTTCCTGATGTTAATAAGATCTCATTCAAATCAACCAGCAGTGATCACTATTTGAATATATTCTCTTAATAATATCAGAAGTGAATATACAGCCAGCATTATATATATATATATATATATATATATGTAGAAATTTTGAAAAACAAACAAAAATCCATAAATGTAGTTAAAATGAAAGATTTATGGATTTTTGTTTGTTTTCAAAATTTCTACATTCTGTCGGATTTATATCCATTTACACTTGCTATATATATATATATATATATATATATATATATATATATATATATATATATATATATATATATGCAAGCCATGTTATGAGAATATTCTGCTTTACTCAGTCAGTTAAGTTCCATATCTGACTCATGTCTCTTTCGCCTGACAAGAAAGAAGATTCCTCGTTTTTTTGTCCATTAGACTGGTTGACAACCATGGCTATAGGATCCAGTCTCTCCTTCTATTCAACTCATACCTGGGGGTGGTGTTGAAGTGAAAAGATAGATATATACATATCCGAAGGATATTTGCTCGTAAATAAATGTAACTCTCAATCGTTATGCACTAAAAAGCAACATATATCTTGCTTAATTGCACACTCTAAATTAATTTCTCTTGTTTACGATAAGCCACATTATTTAAACACAAAAAGATTTAGTTATTTTTTTTCTTCGGACTGCAGTCAGTTGGAATTAGAGATATAATTGTGACGGTTCCTCCATAGGAGTAATAATTTTGCATAGTACTTGTGAAACTCTGTATTATTTGCGAGAGATAGTAGTAGTATTGTTCATTTTACATCGTTCTTTCTACAATAAACAATATTCTACAATATTCTCCCGTTTTTAGCAGCGGTAACCTGCAACGTAGACGCTATAGGAATAGTAACAGCAATAATATCATAATTTATCGCCAAGCAGCTGATCGTAAATTAAGTTGAAGTAGCGGTAGAATGAGCAGGAAGAGATAGTAAACACATTCTGGTTTGTGAAAATGTAGTAATAAGCACGGATGAGATATAAACTCGTAGGATATTCGTAAATGGAAGGATGAATAGCAAGAGTTATGCTGTGGTCCAAATCACTGCTCAAATTTATGGAAGAATACGACTCTGTCCAGCAGTCATGTATTTTTTTCCTTTTCAGTTAACTGACCATCTTCATCATTTTTCAGATCTGTCCATCATTTGCAGTCATGTTATATCTACCATAAACGCAATTCTATGAATTTCTTTCTCGATTTTAGTCTTCTCTATCGACATATTTTCAGATCATCAACTCCATAGAGAGATAAAGTGACAGATAAACATATAGACGACTATACTGAGCTAGCTAGCTAGCTAGATATGAACAGACTAAAATTCAGAGAGAGAGAGAGAGAGAGAGAGAGAGACAGAGAGAGACAGAGAGAGACAGATGGAAAGAAAGTAAGACATATATCTCACTATGTTCTATCTATCTATCTCTATCTATCTATCTCATTTTCTCCGTTGCTCTTTCTATCTCTCTCAATATATATATATATATATATATATATATATATATATATATAGTTAGATATGAACAAAGTGATATATATATATCATTTTGTTCATAACTATTTGTATATTTAGCTATCAGTCTGTTTCTATCTATCCATCCATCAATATACAAGCATATATATGTATATATATATATATATATATATATATATATATATATATATATGTGTGTGTGTGTGTGTGTGTGTGTGTGTGTGTGTGTGTGTGTGTGTGCGTGCATAAATATAAAAGTGAACGTTGAAGTTAACACTCAGAGTCGACAGGGTGTTTCATGCTAGACGCAATCGTCAGGCCGATAATATATATATATATATATATATATATATA